GCACTTTTTGAGTTCAATTGAAATTCATCTGCTGAAAATAACGTAAATAGCGCTCTCCAAATACGAACGTGGAAATGGCGAATAAACGTGAACGATTTAGTTTCGAAAGTGGAATTTAATTTTTAGATTTCCAGCGAAAAAAAACTTGACCTATTGATCTAATTTTCTCTAGTTGGGTTGATGTTTTCAAAAATGCGCCAATCATAAATTGTTCTAGAAATTTAAAGAGCTTAAAGGGCATCTATTTTTTTCTTTGAAATTCGAAAGTTGAGATTTTTTCAAGAAAGTCAGTGTTTTTTTACGTTTACTTGCGTTCATTACTCTTTTTCAATCTTCAGTTAGCTATGTTCAAGTGTCAAAATTTTTTCGAAAAAATACATAATTTTCCAGAAAGCTTGTTTTGTTTTGGCAAATTTGATTGCACTGTTTTGTCTACAAATGCATTTTTAGACTGTCACACGAGAGAATCGGGAGTGTGTTTCTTTCAGGCTGAAAATTTTGAGAAGAAAGAATATATATTTTTTAATTTTTCTGCAAGTATTTTGCGTAAATTGTTTGAAACTTGCATTTAATTTGTTTTGCATTTGTTTTCATTTTGATTTTACTTTATAGCAAAGATCAGATAGTGAATTTTTTAATCCCCTATTCTTCCTGCGGGTATGCTAGGATATGCTAAGATCCTAGGATATGTTGTGGTGCAAAATTTGAAGCGGAATTATTGGATCAATTTTTTCACGAAAATTTTTCGTATCGTTTCTATTAGTTATGAGAAAGAAAGAAATGAATGAAGGTCATGTAGTCTGAATCTTTTTTCGTTTTAGTTAAGTGATATCTACAACAATAGCAAAAAGATTTTTCTAGATTTTTTTGCTTACGATTTCTTTAGAATTCATTCAAGAGTTTCACGCTTCATTTGAGACATATCTTTTGATTTTCGGCAGTATATTTTGTATCGCAAGTGGTGCGAAGCTCAGCTTCGCCTCTTTATTGAAAAATTGTAGTAAGTTTCTGTGCCAATTTAACAGACGCTTCATTTAACTGCAGAGTTCGTTTGTGTTATCACCACAAAATATACAAAGTAATAGGAAAACTTTCACAGAATATAAAGTGAAAGTTTTCCCATTAAGCTAAGCTAAAATGCCAAAAGGTAGCCACTGTATGAAAGAAAATCATTTCAATCAAAATTGGCCATCATCATTTTAATTGTTTGCTTGCAAATTTTCTTTTCTAATTAATAACGTCTTTGCTTAAGAAGAAGTAGAGAAATTGTTTTGTCATTTGGGAGTTATGGGAAAGCTCACCCATTTATTTCGATTAGAATAAATTTAATTTTTAGCGCTCTCGACTATTTAATGTTCGTTTCTTTGAATAACCATGGCTTAATGAGGAAGAAAGGCTCTGCGAGAAATAAAGTTTTCATGTCTTGTGTTGTTTACCCAGACCCAAGTTGGAGAGACCCAGCCATTGATTGATGAAATTTTGACGAATATCAACGCCATCATATGCGATCTATCACCACAACAAGTGCAAACTTTCTATGAAGCAATCGGTAAGTGTCGTTAAATGCCAATCGTTTGCATGACTTCTCGGATGAGTAATTTCCAGCAAGTCAAGGAATCTACGAAAAAAAAACAAAAAAAAATACTCCTATCATCACAAAACTCTGCGTTGTTTTAGATACAAAAAATGACAATTTTTAAAGAAAAACTCATTCTGGATATTTTTCATTTTTTAACAGGCCCCTTATGCTGTTCCAAGAGGATAGTGTCATAGTTTCGATTATTAGCACAATCTTTGGACAAATCGGATTGATATTGACTCAATTTGGATTGTCGATTGAGCCATAGCCGTGATATTGCGCCGCGTACCCGTTAAAGTAACACCTACACATTTATAATTAAACTCAAATTGTCAATTTTATGAGAACTTATTGCGGTTGAATTATCCTTGAAGTTATGACCTCTGAGTTGTAACTTTTTCGAAGGGTTTCAAAAAATACATTTTTGATAGCGAGTTGAGATTAATTTCTTGAATTTTCGTCTTATGTTTCAGAGTCACTGAACGTTGTGAAGACGCTTATGATTTTTTGTTTGTTTTTCAGGAAAGTCTTTAAACTTTGTTAGCGGTTTGAATTTTGATTTCTTTTTAATTTCAATTTATTTCTTTAATTCGAAGGAAGGCAAACTCTACTATCGAACAGCGATAGTGTAAAGGCCGCAAAAAACGTGATCTCGGTTTCACAAAAGTGGAATTTAATTGTCTAATTTCCCAGCGAAAAAGAAAGTTTTATCTGATGATCCAGTTTTCTCAAATGGTGAATTGTGTCTAAGTGTCAAATTGCGCTTTCCGAATGGGTTTGGTTCATATTATATCGGCTTTTTAAATTTATTTTGTGAATGGGATTGATCATAAAATTTTCAGTTTCCACACTTGCGGAGCGTTGTCATAGTACAGCACGCTTCTTTTCGACCTAAGTCGCAAATAAAGGTGCTGAATGTTTGGTGGCACCCTTGTATTTTTATATCTGGTTAATTTTTCTACTCGTCATTATATATATTTTTTCTGGATTATTGGTGGCTTGTTCGCCAAAAACAAAACAAACAGGGATTCGGTTTAATTAATTATTTTTTGAGACGCTTATGAAAATGTAAATTTTTGCGAAAACTGCTTAATGATTTTCATAAAATTAGTTCGAATAGAGATTTTCTGCCCCTTTTTGGTGTCTTGATTTTTTGCTAGTTTCTTTTTACGGACCATCTACGACCCTTCGAGTTTTAAGACCATTATTTGTTTTTTTGAGACGCTTAGGAAAATTTCAATGTTCTAAAGAACTGCTTGCTGATTTTCAAAAAGGTGGTACGAATAGAGAAACGGCCTGCTCCGTTGAGCTTGTTTTTTCTGCTAGTCCATTTTTACGGACCAGCTACGACCGTCAAATTTTCAGTGGGGGAGGGGGAATTTTTCACCCATTTTAAGATTGTTTTTGCTTTCTCAGAAAGTACAATGACTAATCCGAGACTAAGGATTCAATCGAATTAATGTGTTCTGGGGATCTCTTCTGCATTAGCTGCTACGCCCTTATTTTGGTAAAGGCTTTATATGAATAACCTGAAGTAAGAGTTTTCTCACTGCATACGAAGCTACGCCTTAAATGCTTTTCGAAAATCATTTTTTAAAAAAGTTTAGACCGTTTTTCGGAGAATTTTGTCAAAAATTACTCAATTCTGAGATGAAGGTTTCAATCGAAATTAAAGTTGCTAGGACATTTGTCTGCATACCGGCTACGTCTTAGTTTTTGCAGAAAAGCAACTTTGATTTCAGGAAAAGTCCGTGATTCGAAATCAACATTTTTTGGAAATCTTTTGACTCTTCTCGAAAACTACGGTGCCAAATATCAGAATAAGGGTTGAATCAAATGGAGTAGCTGTAAGATTATCCCCTGCAAAAGCTTATTTGACCTTTCGGCCAATTGTTTTACTTTGTAAAAGTCAGTCAGGCAAATTGCACTTTCCGAATATGAACGTAGAAATGGCGCGAAAAAACGTGATGGATTTCTAGTTTCGAAAGGAACTTAGTTTTTAGTTTTCCCAGTCGAATAACAACTTAACCTGACACTTTTTTTTCACATTGAGTTAATTTTTATCAAAAGTGTATATCATCAATTGTTCGTGAATTAAAAGAGCTTCAAGGCCATAATTTTTTTCTATTTCAAAGTGTTGATTTTTGTTTTGTTTTTCGTCCTATTTGTTGTCGGCTGAAATTCTTTTTCTTCCGAATGCACTTTATGTTACCTGATATTGTTTTAAAGCAGCTTATCAAATCCTGGGATTTATTTTCTTTATCAAGTTATTAATTAGAATTCGTTCTGTAGTTCATGATTTTACCAATTCTGATATTTATTTTTTGGGTCAGTGGGTTTGGCTTGTTATATTGGCTGATTTAGTTTTTGTTACGTAATTTATAGGGGGAATTTTACATTTGCCTGCTTGAGATAGGTTTGGTCGTAAAATTTTTGATTTTCAATCATGTGGAGCGTTGTCATATTAAATTACCCTAGTTTTTTCCAACCTGAGTCGCAAATATAGGTTTTCATTGATTGTTGGCACTTTTGTATTCCTAAATCTGTTTAATTTTTCTCCTTAGCATAATTTTTTTCCAAGTTTGTTGATGGCTTGTTCTTTTTTGGTAAAAAACAGATAATATGAAAATAAAAGGGAATCAAGAAAATATATATTTTTTAAACGCTTAGAAAAATTTGATTGTTCTAAGGAACTGCTTGGTGATTTTCAAAAAAATGGGTACCAATATAGAAACGGCCTGCTCCATTGAGTGGGTATTTTCTGCTAGTTTATTTTTACGGACCAGCTACGATCGTCGAAACTTCAGTGGGGAGGTGAATTTTTGACCCATTTTAAGATTGTTTTTGCTTTCTCAGAAAGTACAATGACAAATCCGAGACTAAGGATTCAATCGAATTAATTCGTTCTTGGGATCTCTCCTGCATTAGCTGCTACGCCCTAATTTTGGTAAAGGATTTAGTTGAATAACCTGAAGTAAGATTTTTCTCACTGCATAAGCAGCTACGCCTTGATGCTTTTCAAAAATAAGTTTAGACCGTTTTTCGGAGACTTTTGATAAAAATCCATCTGTCAATTCTGAGATGAAGGTTTCAATAGAAATTACAGTTGCTAGGACGTTTTTCTGCATACCGGCTACGTCTTAGTTGTTGCAGATAAGCAACTTTGATTTCAGGAAAAGTCCGTGATTCGAAATCACCATTTTTTGGAAATCTTTTGACTCTTCTCGAAAACTACGGTGCCAAATATCAGAATCAGGGTTGAATCAAATAGCTGTAAGATTATCCACTGCAGAAGCGAAGTTTCCAACTTCGGCCATAACCATGGTATGAGTGAAGAGTTATTTGACCTTTGACCGATTTTTGTACTTTCTTCAATTTCCAAAAAACGACGCTGCCTATTCGAAAAAAATGAAATTAATCAAACGGAGATGTAATCTCCCCTGCAAACCCACTTTTGACCTATTTTTGTGCTTTTTTTTATCAATGAATGCTCTTTATTTGCACTCTTTGAGTTTGAAATTTAATCAGCTGAAAGGCAATCAGTCAAATTGCGCTTCCCAAATGCGATCCTGGAAATGGCGCAAAAAACTTGATCAATTCCTAGTTTCGAAAGTGGAAATTATAATTCAGATTTCCTAGTGGAATTAAAATTTTACCTGACACTTAAGTTTTCGCATATCGGGTTACTTTTAGCCCATAAATGTCAATCATAGTTTCTTCTCGGAATTAGAAGAGCTTCAAGGTCATATGTTTTTCTTTGGAAGTTTGAAAGGTGAAATTTTCAAAGAAGAAAACAAAAATCAGAGTATAAGTCTAGGTGATTTTTTTATCAGGAAAAATTTTTGCGGTTTGACTTTGATGTTTTTAAGTTCACTTCATTTCTTTTGGTAAAAGAAGGGCAAACTCCACTATCGAACAGTAAAGGTGTAATCGAAGATTGATTCAGTTTTCTGAAATTGAGTTATTTGTATCAATAAATGCCAAGACTTAATTGTTCTTGAAGTTCAAAGAGCTTTAAGGTCATACATTTTTTGTTTGTAATTCGAGAGTTTTTCAAAGAAATAAGGAAGTTTTTTTAAAAAAACAAGCCGTTTTTTTGGCGTTCATTACTCTGTGCCAACTGTTTGTTGGCTGTGGTTTAATATGGCAATTGTAGCAGCTTAACATTGATGAAGCAAACGTGATGAATTCAAGTGTGCTGTGCTTCAACAGGATACATGATAGGGGCTCAGAACGACTCGACGATCCAGGAGAACTTGATCGAGAGGTTCATGTCTCTTCCCAACCAGACTTGGGACGCAATCATAGCAGAGGCAAGCAATAACCTCACAGTACTGCACGACATTGTGCGCATCAAGCAGATTGTGGGCATTCTCAAGACCAATATCAGGGCGTGCAAGGCCATCGGCAGCGGCTTCCTCATACAGCTAGGTGGGATAATTGTTCTCTAGAGTCGTGATTGCTCAATAAATACTTTTCCCGACATAGTGTGCCTTGGGTATTATTTTCATAATGAATGAAAGATAAAAATAATTTGAAAGATAAAAAATAATCAATCGGCATCTCTGGGGTCGCGTTGATGAAAAATCATTTCATCGTTTAAGGTCGCATTTACCTCGACATGATCAACGTCTACAAGTGCATGAGTGGGTACATAACACAAGCACTTCACGACAAACCCCCCACGATGGTACGCGACCCGGTCATCCGAGGCATGCTGAGTGTCAAGAAGGAATCGCTTCGACTCATATCCGAATTCGTAACCAGGTCGAATGATGCCGAAACCATAAAAAACCAACTTTTGGGACCCCTTCTCGAAGCAGTTTTAGTAGACTATGCAAACGGAATTGCAGCTTCAAGAGAACCAGAAGTGCTCAGTACGATGGCAATTATAATCACAAAACTGGAATCGCTGGTTGAAGATCATGTTGGCGCCATTTTTCTGCAGACGTTTGAGTGCACCTTGGATATGATTAACAAAAACTTTGAAGATTGGCCTGAGCACAGAGTCAACTTTTATCAGATGATTCAAGCGGTGGTCAAACACTCTTTTAACGCTCTTTTGAAACTAACCTCGGAACAATTTAAATTAGTGTTGGATGCGATTATCTGGGCTTTCAAGCATACAATGAGAAACGTCGCAGATATCGGACTGGAAATTCTGTACCACCTTTTGGAAAGCATGTCACGGGAATCGAGTGCTGCTGCTGTGTTTTTTAAAGAATACTACACCTCTGTCATAGAGCACCTGTTTAGCGTAGTTACTGATTCAACGCATACTGGAGCACTAAGTATGCATGCAAATATCCTGGCCTTCATGTTTTGCGTGGTGGAGAAAGGTCAACTGACAGTGACATTGAATGAGTCAGCGCCCGATAATGTCACTTACGTGAAGGAATATGTAGGCACACTTTTGAGAAACGCCTTCCCTCATCTGACTTTGCAGCAGGTATTTACACATTTATTTTCATCGGAGCCGTTTGTTAACAGGAGTTTCTCGCGTTTTGAACCTTGAATCGGTTAAAATTATATGAGCTGGTTTGACAGAATTTTTGCTTGTATCAGCTTTAGATCGTGGCGGTTTGTCGAGCTGAATCGAAAAATCGAACCCACAATATTTACAGATTGATCCACTTTTCTGCAACTTGGGTTAATTTTATCACAAAAGTGTCAATTATGTTTTCTCTTGAAATTCAAAGAGCCTTAAGGCCATATATTTTTTAAATATCGAAAGTTGACGTTTTTTCATAAAACGGTCGTTTTTTTTTTGTTTTCCTGCGTTCATGATTCTTTTCCAATTGTATGTAGGTTATGTCATTAATTTTTAAGTGTTAATGAACAAAGTGATTCATCTCTTATTCAGGTGGTGTGTTTGTTTTTAGGAAAATTTATTTACGCTCGAATTGATCTTTCGCTATTTGATTTCTGCATGTAAAATTCAATTTTTACCAGGGGCGGAATTAAGGGGGGACGCCCCCTTCCTCCTTAAGGATTCGACCCACTGCTGACCAAATGGGTCCCTCGTTGGTACTATTTTAGGACATCCATTTTGGCTGATCGGCACTAAAATCTTTCTAAAGGCGCTTTTGGCGCCAATTTATACTAATTTTGAAGGGAAACTTAATTTTTTGTGTGTCAAAATTATCCCAAAAGTGCCTAAAAACCTAAAAACGCGTTTTTTAGCCTGTTCTTTCAAAAATTTGACTGCGGTGAAAAAATTAGTAAAAATGGGGTCTTTATAGTGACTTGGGAGAGCTCAGAAAATCAAATTGGTCGACCCAAAAAAAGGTCGACAAAATTTTCAGAAAATCCGCCTCTTTCGAGAAAATCTTGGATCCGCCCCTGATTTTTTCATGATTTCCCAGCAGGGGCGGATCTAGGATTTTCTCGAGGGGGGGGCGGATTTTCAAAAAAAATTCGAAAATTTTGACGACCTTTTTTTTTTTTATGTCGACCAAATTGATTTTTGGAGCTCTCTCAAAGCACTTTTTTGCCCCCATTTTGGCTAAATTTTCTGCGCCGCAGGCAAATTTCTGAAAAAACAGTCATAAAAGCCGTTTTTGGGCACTTTTTGAAAAATGTTGACAAAAAAATCGCGTTTTTTTTCGCGCGCGCTCCCCTCAAAGTTAGTATATATTGGCGCCAAAGGCGCCTTTAGAAAAATTTTAGGGTCGGTCGGCCAAAAATAGATTTCTGAAAAAGTATCAAAGGGGGGACCCTTTGGGTCGGCAGGGGGTCGAATCCCTGAGGGGGGGCGTCCGCCGCCCCCCCCCCCCCCCCCTAAATCCGCCCCTGTTTCCCAGCGTCATAGATCAAAAATTTGTCAGTTAAAATGCTGACGCAAGTAAGGTGATTGTAAAACCACTAAGCAGCTCTCCTTAGAAGAAATGCTGAAAAACTCCTTTAACACCCAATAAACCTTCAATTATGTGATTTTTTTAACATAATTTCAAGTAGTTTTTTGAAGGGTGTTAGATCCATATTTTTCTTGATGGATAATCAATATGTGAAACGACATTCAAAATATCGAACCGCCGACCCCAGCAAATTTTTTCTCTGGCAATTCAAATAAGAAAAGTAGTAAACTGTTTTGGCGAAATTTTGATTTAAACGTAATATTTTTTTCGTATTTTTCGTAATATTTGTTGTCGTCTTAATATTTTGTAAGTATTGGGCTTAAACTTGTTTGGCTGTTTGTTTCAGGTGCAAGTATTCGTCACTGGTCTGTTCAGTCTTGATGAAGACAACGCCCAGTTCCGAGAACACCTTCGCGACTTCCTGGTCCAGATCAGAGAGTACGCTGGCGAGGACGAGAGCGACCTCTACCTCGAGGAACGACAGCAGGCACTCAAACAGGCCGAGGGTGAGAAGGCGGCTTTAAGGAAGGCAGTGCCTGGAATCCTGAACCCCCATGCTGATTTCGAGAAGGCGGTAGCCATTGATGAAGACATGAGCTGAGATACCCAATATGGAAGATACAGAGGGTATTAGATTAATAGGTTTTCCAGGAGTGACTTTTTGGAATTGGAGGTTCGAAAAACTAAACTGAAAAGATAGTTGAACCGTCCAGGATTGAAAATTAGATCTTAGGTTGTCGTTGTTTGTTATTTACGCAAAGTTGGAAGTGTTTCGTCTCCATGCAATGAATGTTTCGATTGTGAGATTCTGACAATCAGCGAAAGCTTAAAATTTGTGAAATATATTGTATCAATCAAGTATTCGTTGTTTTTACCAGATGAGGAAACACGTACCAATAGTTGTATACCCTGTGCTTTGTTTTGAAATTAACTCATTCATAATACCTCAAACAAAACTCTGCAGCTGACATTAAACGATTTGACAATAAAATTGCTGCAGAGTTTAGTTTCTGATTTTCTGACTGTATTATAAATAAAAAGGAAGCATTTATATAGCGGACTGAAATCAAGAAACCGTATTCTAAGAGTTAAACTGAGGAATCTTTTTGAAAAAGTTGGACAGTCGAAGCAATATTTAGTTGCTGTGTAAATAAAGCTGAAATTCGTTATAGAGAATTTTTTAATTGCTAGGTATAATAAAACTGAAAATCTATTTATCAAACGCGATCAGAAAAGGGCTTTGACAATGAAAGACAGAAAAGTTAATGAATATTCTAATCAATTTCATGTTTTAATAACACGCAACGTTATTAACAAGCGTTATCGAAAGTGTTATTATTTTAGTTTGCTTTATGGAATCGGAAGGAAGGTTTTCAGAGTTGATGAAAGTTGTGGAGACTCTATTAGTAGGGCCTAGTGATTTTTTTCAGGAAAAGACTTGGAAGGTTATTTTTCGCGGTTTCCTTTGTTAAAAGGTAAGAAAACTCCGCTATCGAACAGCAAAAAGCATTAAGGTCACGAAAACGTGGTCTGTTTCTAATTTCTCAAGTGGGTTCTCATTTTAACCTTTGCGATAACCAAGGGTGTTGCAAACGGGCCTTTCCCGTATACAACTTTGTTCACAGAATTGCTAAAATTTGAAATTTCATGTTTCACCTATATAGAGCTCGCTTGCTAAGTAGTTATATTGCGTGATTTCTGTGTAGTTGGTATATGCAGGATCTTCCGGTTGACATTTGCCGAGATATTGAGGGACAAAACTTGGTTGTTCGTAATAGTGAATTGATAAAAGTTGTTTAGATTCTTAGTTCCAATTTAATATTTATTAGTCAAGCTTTGACTAAGAGGAAACATAGATTTAGATTCAGAATAATTTTACATCTAGCAAACGATGTATCAAAACAACAGAGTGATTACGCACAGCGTGACACTCAATATAGGCCAAGCCAGTGACCTTGAACATAACTGGTAGTGAAATCAGCAGCATATCTGCAACAAGGCAATAAGTAAGCGAGGTACCGAAGGTCACCTCATGACATTCCCAGCGGAAGGGAAAATTTTTGAAATAGAAATCAAACATTTTGTAATCAACAAACTCCACCCAGATGGGCATTAGATAGATAGCACCCCTATCCCTCAAAAATGCAGGGTGGCAAAAAAATAGATTGTATAAAGTTTTGCAAAAGTTTTGGACAGTTTGATAGATAAACAATAGTCAATCTTCATCTTGAGTTTTATTGACCAATGAGGAGAATGACGCCTCCGGCGGAACCTGTTGAGTTCGGTCACGAATGAGCGCTCTTCTAGGTGAATGCGAGGACGGTAAGACGCTCTGAGAGGGTAAGTCAGAAACCTCCTCCCCCAATAGTGTGTCCTCTTCCACAATTTTAACGGAGTGCCGTAAAGGATCTCTAAAGAATTTCGTTGTCTTCTTGCTACGTGATGAGGTCCTGACAGCTTCCGAGTCATCCACTACAGGCTGAGCGGGGAGAGAAAGAGAAGGATATGATGAGTGTGGTTCTGAAGGTACATGTTGTGCAGGTTGAACAAAACCCTCGAAAGAAATATCAGCAGGTGACAAAAACTCAGTTCGGGTATTCACTACTGTAGGATTAACAGGCTGTGTGATAGATGGGGAAGAGACAACAGTATCCATTGTAGACTGCTGCGGAGTAAAAGTCGAGTCAGCAAATGTGACTGGCGGCAAATCATCCTGTAGCCTTGGTCGCTTCTCCACTGGGGTAGATTCCCGAACCAACTGCTGAGTATTCGGACCAGATGAGCCCTCACTAGACGAATCGGCTGTTAGATCCACCACCATTGGCTTTGATACGCTAGGGTCGTCCGGGCGTTTCTTTAACAGAGTTGGTTGAGAGGAGCGAGTAACTGGCCTTTTCCCCACACTGTGTGAAGTCAATCCTGGTGCTTGGAGGCAATCACCTAATGTGCTTTGAGTCGCTGAAATGTTATTACGGAAGTTAGGCTTAAGACAAGCCCGAGCAAGATCAGCTAGCGCTTTGTAAGGCTCACTCTCAGCAACATTACCCTCCAGAGAAAACATGGGTTTGAATCGTGGGGCAATCGGAGGGCTGGCACTTCCTCTCGGCACTACCTTGGCACGATCCCGACTGTAGTCCTGGCTAGCAATTTGATTAGGCGTTAAGAGGTTGCGCTCAAGTCTTTGTGCTGAAGTATCAGAATTAACGATATTATGAAAAGCCTGTGACCATTCAGTATTTGGCTTACGTCCAAAATGCAACTCAAAAGGCGACTTCTTAAGTATAGAATGATTACTCTTGCTAATGTCTTCAATTATCCGATGGAGTATCTCTTTAAAATTTTTAAAATGAGGATCAAGTTTCGCCGTGCCCAATTTGCGTTTTTTAGTCTGTATCATACGTTCAACTAGACCAGAACCTCTATGATCGCTAACGGGTGAAAGGATATGTTTAATACCTCTACTAGAACAAAATTGTTGTACTAAATCGTTTTTAAACCCAGCCATGATCAGTCCTGATAGAATGAGGTCAGCCATGAATACGGATGTAAGATTCAAGGAATTTAGTAACCTTCTTAGCGCCAGTAGTTTTAGTAATAAGAACGGAAGGAAATTTCGAGAAAGGATCAATAACTACTCAAAGGAATATCTTCGCACCTTTGTCATCCAATATAGGACCAGCAAAATCTAACTGCAGTTTCTGATTTGGCCCCGTTAAATTTGGTAACGGTTGAGCGGTATGAAAAGTTTTAACAGGCTTAAGGTTCTTACCATACAACGTGCATTCATGGCATTTCTCACAGGTTTCAACAATCTGTCGGTTTAAAAACGGCCACCAAATGTACTCTGAGGCTGACATCATGGCCTCTTGTCCGGGATGAGAACGATGAAGACGAGCGAGGACAGCTTGCCTCAAGGCTTCAGGGATTGCTAACTTGTTGTCAGTGATCACGCAATTATTGACGACCGCTGCCTTGGGCCAGATTTGAGCCATGTAGGCCCCGAGTTTGTTGAAGCTAGTGACATCCTTATTGATAATAGCCGGTTTCATCGGGCCCAGGAAACGATCTTCCTCCGTGAGCTCTGCTAAAAGATCGGCGTCGAACAAACCTGGTAGTCCCACAATATCTTTCTTAGACTTTAAGAGAATATGTTTACCTCCGTTAACAGCAAACACGCCAACTTTAGCGGCCGTGTGGATTTTACCCGGTCGCGATAAGCGGCACCACCTCATAGCCTCCAAAAGTTGGCTGTGTCCCTCCTTTCTGGAGATGGTCTTGGCGGCAACAAAACGAGTTTTTGCTGCACGCTCCTGTTTCCAATTATGCTGTCGTACCTGATTCAGATGAGAGATTCGTCCTACCTGACGAGATCTCATTGTGGGACGCGGGCGCGGTCGTCTGAAATTTCGGGAACTCAGAGGAAAGTTTTCCACAAAAAGGAGGTCAGTTTGTTCCGCCGTCGAGTTGAGTAGTGTTTGTGAGTCAGGGGGATGAACAAGTGTAGAATGTAAGTCGTCGGCAGTAGGTTGGGGGGAAGTATCTGGTGGTAGAGTCGGATTTGAGGAGTTCATAATGTCACTATGAGTTGTTACAAAAGAAAAAGATGAGAAGAGAGAGTTACGACTGTTTTGAGCAATTCAGGTCGGAGACAATGATTAAGAGCGAGCGAAACCGGTCTACGACTTTTAATTTGCATACCCGTTTCTGATTGGTCGACACTTAAAGAGCATAACGCAACGCCCTCTCTCGGTGAGATACTTGAAACGCGTATTTGCATAACGTGATCTGATTGGTTGACAGGACGAGTTGGTTTCAAGACACCCCCTACCGGAATAAATTTTGATGAGGACAAATAAAATTTCAGAGTGTGAGGATCAATGCCCTCTTGCGACGAAGAACATAAACCGTCTCCTAAATTAATCATGTTGAATGAATTTATAAATGTCAAGGCCGAATTAAAAGCCTCAATGGACTTAACAACAAAAAGTTCATCATAAATCGAAGGCGCTGGAGCTGAAAAATTAGGATAGCGGGACAAATAGTCCACATTACCCAATGTAACCCCAGGGACATGAATAGCTTCGAAATCAAAGGGTAACAAACGATCCGCTCAACGTGAAAAGCGCGACTGATAGACTCGTTATTATAATTTTCACTCAATGCCGAAATAATGGCTTTATGTTCCGTCAACACTTGAAAACGATTACCCAACAAATACGTACGAAAGTGCCCACACGATTGCCAACAACTCTAATTCATTTGTACTATACTTCGTTTCTGCATTTTTGAGAAAACGCGAAGCAAACGCAGTTGGAGCCCAAACTCCCGGTTCAATCTTCTGCTCAAGACAGGCTCCTAGTCCGTTATGACTAGCGTCACATTCAACTCGAGACTTTTTCGAAGACTCATAATGGAACAAACTGGGGATTTTAGCCACCAGGTTGATATTACTCTTGAAGGCATTATCCTGTTCCTCTCCCCACCGAAAAGACTGTTTGTTACATGCTTTTAAGAATTGCCGAAAATGAACTTTATAAGTATGTAAGTCAAGTATAAACCGTTGTAGATGATTTAGCGTTCTCATAAATGAACGAAGCTGTTTCAAAGTTCTTGGGGGTTTAAGTGATTATATCGCGTCTATCTTTGAAAATTTGGGAGAATAACCGTCCTCATTTATATCGTAACCTAACCAAGTTAACTGGTTCACCGAAAATTCACACTTACTAAGCTTCAGTGCCCAGCCTTCTGCATCGAGCCTCTGCATCACTTTCTCAGCCAAGTTGTTATGTTCTTGAATGTCTCCCTTCGTGACTACTAAGATATCGTCCAAGTAACAAATTACACCCTCCAATCCTTGTAAGGTACAGTCCATCGCCTTCTGGAACTCGGTTGGCAAGTCTGTTAAAGCATAGAACCCAGTCTTGAACCTATAGGTCCCCGTAGCATCCCCACACAAGATATTGAAGTTACAGTGACTACTGGTAACAGACGATAGAGGCAGTTGACTGAAAGCGTACTTCAAGTCTAATGAGGTAAACCAAACCTTTCCAGGTACATCTTTGGTGATTATCTGAGCCACGGAATCAATAAGCTCATGAATGTTTGGCATCTGGTATTTGTTTTTCCAGATCTGCGCATTCATTGGCTTAGCATTTAAGGCAAGTTTGATTGAACCATCCTTTTTGGCTGTCAACACAATGGGCGCTATGAAATAATCGGTCGTACATTTATCCAGTTTCTCGATGTGACCCTGCTTCAACCACTGCCTGATCTCATTAGCAA